AATTTTTGGTCTGAAGTTGGTGAGAAGCCTAATTATTTGACCAGGTTACTATTTATGTAGACCATTCTGTGGCTGTCTGTGGTTAATCCACAGCTGGCAAAATTCTAGCTCTGGGAGGTTTCTATTTCATGCTGCAACAGTTTGGAGGGAAAGATTTAAACTCTTCTCATTAAACAAAAGACTAAAGAGCAAGTACATACATACTACTATGAAGATAAGATGCCATATAAACTTTTTAATTCTCTAAATGACAGGAATAGCTAAGGAAGCAGCTTGGATGCTCATAGTTTGCAGGTGACCTGGTACTTGGTAGAAAAGAAAGGAGAAAACATTTTAAAAATAAAGATGTGGAACTTTTAAATGAGAAAGCTTGCTATCATGCAAAGAAAACATTGTTTTTATTAACATCTCATTAGCAATACTTTATTGTGATATGAGGCAATTACAGGTGAGAAAGAAATAATACCTTTTCCTCATCCATTGCAAGAGTCATGACTAATACCCTATAACACAAGACAGTTTAACAAAAGAAAAACACAATAAATGTATTTAACAGTTTTATGTAACATGGAACCTTCAGAAATGAAGACCCACTGACCTGGGGAAACCTATACTTTTTTATACTACAATGAAATAAGTGAACATTTTTGGTGAGATGCGATTGGACAAAAAGGGTTTGATCTACGGTCTAATGGTAATATGCTGGGAGCAAGGGAGTTGAAATTCTTGTCTTTTCGGATTCTTCTTGGCCTCTGGGAATAGGACAGTACCCTCTGGAATGAGGTCTTCTGACTTACTTTCAGTTGAGGTGGGTCAGAGAATTCCTTTCTGAGGGACGGTCAGAGTGATTGTCTTCCTTTGCAGTTTCCTAAGGTGTCATATTTTGCAGTGTCATGTTCTGAGTCCCAACACAGTCATATTTTAAGATTCACTAAGTATCTCAGAATGCAAGGGGGCGGGAGGGATGAAGGAAGATCATGGAGGAGGTGAATTCAACTAGAATATATTTGATATATTATAAGAACTTTTGTAAATATCACAGTGTACCCCCAGAACAATACAAACAACAAAAAAAGAATTTTTAGAAACTGTGATCCATCAAAATATTTAAGAAATAAAGTCTCAGAATGCATAAACACAGTAAAACCTCTGTTCCAACATGGGTCTTGATACACATGACTCTTGCCACAAAATTATTTTAGCATTCATACAGCACTCAATTTAAAATGTGCAAATGATAGGAAAAGGTCTTGTTAAAAAAAAAAAAAGTCTTTAAATTTGCATGATGGAATGGGTTATAAGTGACTATTTCAGTAGCATTTTTCCAACTTTGTCCAAAGTTCACTATGTCTGGGTCTCACTATGTAGCCCAGGGCTGGGATTAGAGGCATTCACCTCATACTTCACTATTTTTGCAACTTTAAAGAAGTTTCTTGCATATTTTCAAGGTTATTTCCTCTGTTTATATTCTATATAAACATCCGGTTTCCGCGTTCCATTTCCCTCTGGTGCTTTGATCCAGTTATCCTTCTCTCTTATTCATTCTTCTGTTTCTTCACTAGATATAGTGCTGTTTTGTGGCTTTCTTTATTTTTAAAATGAGGCTAACAACAGATCCACCCATAGGTTTGATACAAAAGAAAAATAATATTTAAGTATAAAAGTTTAATAACAATGACCTGCCACACAAGAATTGCTAACTGTGCTAAACTTGTTGCTGTCGAGATTGTCTTAAAATATTTCTATCTGGTTACTCGTTTAATTGAAAACTCATTACCCATGAATTTAACCCGACCCACTCCACTGCCACTATGCTTACAAGGTATTAACTTCTAACTACGATTCGGACCTGTATGTGTTCTCAACTCATTTGATCCTCATCCATATTCATGCTTCCTATACTCAAGCTTTGTGTTTTCCTTTAATAAGATTTTTTATTATATATTAAAATGTAGATAATTAGCACTTAAAATGCAGCTTCCTGTGCAAAAATTTGCATTAAAGATATTTTCCTATTTGCATTGCTGAATTGATCTTCATTATTTGAACTTCTAATTCAGAATCTTCTTCTGAAATCACAGTTACACTCTGATGTGCAGGTGCATGTCTATTTTCAGCATAGAGAGGATTTTGAAGTGAGTTCCGGGACTAGCTTGTACTACACAGCAAGACTTTTGTCTCGCAAAAACACCCAAGAATTCCATTAAATGTTAATAAACCACATTCTTTTTCATTTATTTTTTTTTTTTTATTATTCATATGTGCATACAAGGCTTGGTTCATTTCTCCCCCTGCCCCCACCCCCTCCCTTACCACCCACTCCGCCCCTCGCTCCCCCCCCTCAATACCCAGCAGAAAACTATTTTGCCCTTATCTAATTTTGTTGTAGAGAGTATAAGCAATAATAGGAAGGAACAAGGTTTTGCTGGTTGAGATAAGGATAGCTATACAGGGCATTGACTCACATTGATTTCCTGTGCGTGTGTGTTACCTTCTAGGTTAATTCTTTTTGATCTAACCTTTTCTCTAGTTCCTGGTCCCCTTTTCCTATTGGCCTCAGTTGCTTTTAAGGTATCTGTTTAGTTTCTCTGCGTAAGGGCAACAAATGCTAGCTAGTTTTTTAGGTGTCTTACCTATCCTCACCCCTCCCTTGTGTGCTCTCGCTTTTATCATGTGCTCATAGTCCAATCCCCTTGTTGTTTGCCCTTGATCTAATGTCCACATATGAGGGAGAACATACGATTTTTGGTCTTTTGGGCCAGGCTAACCTCACTCAGAATGATGTTCTCCAATTCCATCCATTTACCAGCGAATGATAACATTTCGTTCTTCATGGCTGCATAAAATTCCATTGTGTATAGATACCACATTTTCTTAATCCATTCGTCAGTGTGGGGCATCTTGGCTGTTTCCATAACTTGGCTATTGTGAATAGTGCCGCAATAAACATGGGTGTGCAGGTGCCTCTGGAGTAACACAGTCTTTTGGGTATATCCCCAAGAGTGGTATTGCTGGATCAAATGCATGTCTAGCTTTTTAAGTAGCCTCCAAATTTTTTTCCAGAGTGGTTACTAGTCTACATTCCCACCAACAGTGTAAGAGGGTTCCTTTTTCCCCGATCCTCGCCAACACCTGTTGTTGGTGGTGTTGCTGATGATGGCTATTCTAACAGGGGTGAGGTGGAATCTTAGTGTGGTTTTAATTTGCATTTCCTTTATTGCTAGAGATGGTGAGCATTTTTTCATGTGTTTTTGGCCATTTGAATTTCTTCTTTTGAGAAAGTTCTGTTTAGTTCACTGCCCATTTCTTTATTGGTTCATTAGTTTTGGGAGAATTTAGTTTTTTAAGTTCCCTATATATTCTGGTTATCAGTCCTTTGTCTGATGTATAGTGGCAAATATTTTCTCCCACTCTGTGGGTGTTCTCTTCAGTTTAGAGACCATTTCTTTTGATGAACAGAAGCTTTTTAGTTTTATGAGGTCCCATTTATCTATGCTATCTCTTAGTTGCTGTGCTGCTGGGGTTTCATTGAGAAAGTTCTTACCTATACCTACTAACTCCAGAGTATTTCCTACTCTTTCTGTATCAACTTAGAGTTTGGGTCTGATATTAAGATCCTTGATCCATTTTGAGTTAATCTTGGTATAGGGTGATATACATGGATCTAGTTTCAGTTTTTTGCAGACTGCTAACCAGTTTTCCCAGCAGTTTTTGTTGAAGAGGCTGCTATTTCTCCATCGTATATTTTTAGCTCCTTTGTCAAAGACAAGTTGGTTATAGTTGTGTGGCTTCATATCTGGTCCTCTATTCTGTTCCACTGGTCTTCATGTCTGTTTTTGTGCCAGTACCATGCTGTTTTTATTGTTATTGCTTTGTAATATAGTTTGAAGTCAGGTATTGTGATACCTCCTGCATTGTTCTTTTGACTGAGTATTGCCTTGGCTATTCGTGGCCTCTGTGTTTCCATATAAATTTCAGTAGATTTTTCAATCTCTTTAATGAATGTCATTGGAATTTTGATGGGAATTGCATTAAACATGTAGATTACTTTTGGGAGTATCGACATTTTTACTATGTTGATTCTACCAATCCATGAGCATGGGAGATCTCTCCACTTTCTATAGTCTTCCTCAATCTCTTTCTTCAGAAGTGTATAGTTTTCCTTGTAGAGGTCTTTCACATCTTTTGTTAGGTTTACACCTAGGTATTTGATTTTTTTTGAGGCTATTGTAAATGGAATTGTTTTCATACATTCTTTTTCAATTTGCTCATTGTTAGTGTATAGAAATGCGAATGATTTTTCTGTGTTTGATTTTATATCCTGCTACCTTACTATAGCTATTGATGATGTCTAGAAGTTTCTGAGTAGAGTTTTTTTGGGTCTTTAAGGTATAGGATCATGTCTTCTGCAAATAGGGATATTTTGACAGTTTCTTTACCTATTTATATTCCTTTTATTCCTCTTTCTTGCCTAATTGCTCTGGCTAGGAATTCCAGTACTAAAACACATTATTTTTAAATCACTTAAAATTATACACACTTGTTTATAAGGAGCTAGAGGGATTCAGTCTGCTTGCTTCATTACTATTTCTCTAACTGTACTTGTTGGGCTGGGGGTGTGGCTCAAGTGGTACAGTGGTTGCCTAGCAAACATAAGGCCCTGAAGTCAAAATCCAATGCTGCCAAAAAAATTAAGAATTCAAAAAATGTGTTTATTGTCTTGAATGAAATCTTTTAAACAGTTTCATCTTTTGTAGTTTCCCAGAATTCTTTCTGGTATTTACATGTTAATCCAATATGAAATAATTAATGTTTTATTATCTGAAATATTGGCATGTATCAAGTGTATAATGTTCTTGGTAAACTTTTTTCCCAGCTAATGCAGCCATATTCTGCCTTGTGGTTTATATAGACTTTAGTATTCTCATGTAGATTTCTTTTTATTCTCAACTCTGTGGAGATTACACTTCTAATTTACCCTCCTTTTTGTCTTTATCCAGGGTTTTTTCCTTACAGTTTCCCCTGAATCAGTATTAAAAGTGGCTCACCATGCTTCTGAAAACAACAGGATTTTCACTTTGAATCTGTCTGCACCATTTATTAGCCAGTTCTACAAAGAGTCTTTGATGAAAGTTATGCCTTATGTCGACATTCTTTTTGGAAATGAGACGGTAAGTTATCTTTCTAAAAAATTAGTTTTTGTTTTTCCCTTCTGTGCATGTTTCAAAATGTATAAATAAATCAAAAATTTTTTAATATCCTTCAGAGGCACAACAAAATTGCCTCAATATGGACTTCTCTAACTCAGAATTTTCAGTATTTCCTACAGTGTACACTAACTTGTTAGTAAAACATTAATTTTTAAGTGTTAGATTATTAAGACCTAATTTGCATGTAGTAAAATTATCCTTTTTACTAATGCCTGTTTATATTTCTAGGGTTTTTGACCCAAGTGTATGTCATTATAATTGCAATCAAATAAAAAATACTTTATTTCTTTTAATCCTTTCAAAGTCTACTAAAGTTTGGACTAAGAAATTATGAGTAAATATTGATGTAATTTATATTGAATTTGTTAATAGTATCATTTTTTGAGATGACTTACATGTTATACTTGGAGGTGACACAATGGAATTAGATTTAAAGTGTTACATATTTTTCTTTTTACCAAAAATGTGTTTTATTCCATTCTAAATTAAGGGAAAAAATTTTGCGTATTTGGTCATTGCAGTTTATATTTGTGATATAAATATTAAAATCCATTCACTTACAGAGCTAGGAGTGTGGCTCAATTCGTAGAGCCCCTGCCTAGCAATCCTAAGGCCCTGAGTTCAATCCCTAGTTTTATCCCTCCCACCCCCAAAAAAATCCTTTTCTCTAAAATATCCATGAAGTAGAAAAAAAAGGTCTTCAGTGTGCCTTCATGTGATCTTCATCATACCTCTGAACTTCTGTAAATCTTGGAAGTTTTATTTATATCTGAAGTTGTCATAGTGATCATCTTAGGAATCCACTCTGATTCGAATTCTGTGGTTCTAACTTTGTATGAATGTATTCATTGTTTTTTATATCGCAACAAGATAACTGTGCTGTTTGCCTAGAATAACATAAGAATTGACCTGAAAATAACTTGTGAAGTTATCTGAATCAAGATAAAGGCTGATTTGTAGTAAGAATATCATGATGAGAGTATCTGCAAAGGAAGATAGCAATAACAGGAAATGCTGTATTCTTTACAAACTGACATGATGGGAAGAAATAGTGGTAAAAGACTTGAGTTTCTACATAGCTGCTTGAAGTCTCATTTGACTAAAATCTACCTTTTATGTTTTCCTTATTTAACAGACAAGGAAGAGGGGACTTAAAAACAAATTACAGAGCACACAGAAAAGTCTTTAGTAAAAGCTCATATTTTTAAAAAAACTTTTTTAAAGATGGAAAGCATACATAGAATCAGGGAATGATGCTACAAGTTTGAAATAGAGTTGGGAAATAAAAAAGAATAAGCCCCAGAATGACTTACACTTACAGAAATGGTAGTGGTACCAAAGTCATCTTCACTTGAAAATAAAACAAAAAAGTTCAAAGCACAGCAACAGTTTTAAAATATCAGTAAGTTGGACTTCATGAAAATTAACAACTTTTATGGCTGGGCTTGGTGGTACATACCCATAATCCCAACACTTGGGAGTATCTTGAGTTCAAGACCATCCTAGGCTACATAGCAAGATCCTATCTCAAAAACAAGAAAAACAAACTTCTATGTATAAAAAGATACTAATAAGGATGTGAAGAAACCTATAGAGAATGGAAACTAATATTTATAAATTATATGTCTGACAAGGGATTACCCCAAAATCTTCAAATCAGTGACAACTCAGCACCAGGAAAAATCAGTAAAATCAAATAAAACATGGTCAAAGGACTTAAGGAAGCCATTTCTCCAAAGAAGCTATCAAAATGACCAATAAACACATTTAGAGATGCTCAACATCTTTAGTCAGTAGAGAAACATAATGAGCCAAAATTAGACACCACTTCATACCCATTAGGGTAATGAAGAAATTGGAACTCTGTGTATTGCTGATGGGACTGTAAAGTAATGCAGCTGCTTTAGAAAACAATTTGGTGGTTTGCCAAAAAGTTGAACATAGAATTATTAACATATAATCCAGCAAGTACACTTCTAGGCCTATTCCAAAAAAACTGAAAGAAAGAACTCATATGCGTGTACATCAATAATTAACAGCAGCATTATTCACAATAGCCTAGGCAGGAAGAAATCAATTTTTAATAAAACAAATTTCATATATACAACAGTGGAATATATTCAACCTTCAAGAATAAAATTCCCAGTCGGGTACTGGTGGCCCACACCTATAATCTTAGCTATGTAGGAGGCTGGAATTGGTGCAACACAGTTTAGGCCAGCACGGGAAAAAAATTGTCAAGACCCCATCTCAATGAAAAAAATTTGAAACTGCTGATGCACATCTGTCATCCCAATATGGCGGAGGATCACAGTCCAGGCTTCCTGATCAAGGATAAGACTCAGTTTTCCAAATATCCAGAGCAAAATTACTCGAGGCAGGGTTCAAGCAGTAGAGCACCTGCCTAACAAGCAAAAAAAACAATAAATAGACGAAATGAAATACCATATGTGCATGTATGATTGAATCTTGAAAATTGAGGTTAAGTTTTTTTAAAAACCATCATACAACTATTGGATTTTCTTATAAGAACTGCACTTCATGTAGCGTGGGAGTAGCTCAATGGTACAGAGCATGGTTCGTATATCAAGACCCTGGGTTTCATCCTCAGCACCACAGCAGAGAAGGGAAAGGAAAAAAATTCCTCTTTTTAAGAGATGCCTAGAATAGGCAAATTCATAAAGACAGAAAACAGAATTGAGTTTACCAGGGACTAGGGGTGTGGATGGGGCTAATGGGCATTGTTTTCTAATAGGTATAGAGCTTCTGTTTGGTACAAAGAAGTTCTGGAAATGGATAGTGATGATGGTTACACAACATTGTGAATGTACGTAGTTACACTAAATTGAATACTTAAAATGTTAAATTTTAAGCATAGTTTACCACTTTTTTTGTAGTACTAGGGTTTGTTTATTTGCAGTACTAGGGTTTGAACTCAGGGCCTCATAGTTTCTAAGCATGTGCTCTACCACTTCAGCCACTCCATCATTCCCAAGTTACCATAACTTTTTTTTTAAAACAAAGATTCATTCTACAAACCAGTAGTTTTGTTAGATCTTGACATAGATTATTAAAGAAATTATTTTTCCCCACCTAAAGGAGAAACTACAAGCTACTACTTGTCTACAAGTCATGTCAGGATGTCAGGAGAACATTTTTTTTGATGATGACTGTTCACTTGAGTTAATTTTAACAAATATTTACGTACTATCTGTTGTGGCAAACCAATAAACAGTGTACACATAGCACACTAGAGGTTGATCTCGATATGGATTATAGCATAATAAACATTAATTACAGGGTAATTGGGTATATTTGATATCTTATTGAGTCAGTCAAATGGTCTGCTGGTAAATGAGTGGTTTTCTACTGGAATGTCTTAGTGCTTATCCTGAGCTTTGTTCATGTAAACTGTCAGTGATTGAGACAAGATATATTAGCATATACTGTGCAGGCAAATATTGCACCACCTTAATAAATATCAAGTAATTTGCATGTCAGAATTTTTTAATGTTAATAGACTGGAAAGATCAGTCGAGGTGATATAATTTAATTGGGATAATAAAGTAATGCCATACTTGATCATAAAATGAATGTAGATTGATACAAGTTTTCTCTCTTTAAACACATTACCTATTGTTCTTCTCATTGAATACTATGGTAATAATAAATTATCTTCGGTTTTCCATGAAAAAAATAGATATTTTAGTTCTAAAATGCAATGAAATATAAAATATATTTCTCAGAAATACATATACTTATGTATGATTTTTATTAGCATGTACTAATCGTATAAAGATGTTTCATTATGATATTTCCATAGATGCATATCATATACTTTGATCAAATTCACATCCTTTATTTCTTTCTTATCCTGCCCCTCAACCTTTTTAAATAATGTTTAGCAGATTTCTTTGTTCTGTTTTCATATACAGTATGCATATGGGACATATAATTGCACCGTCACCCTCCTTTCACTGTCCCGTGGGTTCTGCTCCCTAAACAGTTCCCATTTTACACTATTTACATGATTGTTTTATTTTTCATTTTTTCCCCTCAGAAAGATTCAGATTTGTGTTTTGTATTAAATTCCCAAAATGTCATCACTTAGCTAACATTAAACACATTTAGCTCTTATTTTCCAGTGGGTGTCACTTTCCCTTTCTCAAAGGATTATATACTGGTAATGATGTCTTTTTTTTTCTTTTATTATTCATATGTGCATACAAGGCTTGTGTCATTTCTCCCCCCCTGCCCCCACCCCCTCCCTTACCACCCACTCCACCCCCTCCCTCTCCCCCCCCACCCCCTCAATACCCAGCAGAAACTATTTTGCCCTTATTTCTAATTTTGTTGTAGAGAGAGTATAAGCAATAATAGGAAGGAACAGGGTTTTTGCTGGTTGAGATAAGGATAGCTATACAGGGCATTGACTCACATTGATTTGTGTGTGTGTGTGTTACCTTCTAGGTTAATTCTTCTTGATCTAACCTTTTCTCTAGTTCCTGGTCCCCTTTTCCTATTGGCCTCAGTTGCTTTTAAAGTATCTGCTTTAGTTTCTCTGCATTAAGGGCAACAAATGCTAGCTAATTTTTTAGGTGTCTTACCTATTCTCACCCCTCCCTTGTGTGCTCTCGCTTTTATCATGTGCTGAAATTCCAATCCCATTGTTGTTTGCCACATATGAGGGAGAACATACGATCTTTGGTCTTTTGGGCCAGGCTAACCTCACTCAGAATGATGTTCTCCAATTCCATCTGGTAATGATGTCTTAAAACTTTTCTGATAGCCTCACTATTAAAAATAACTCACCCCTTGTCCACCAAGACTATCTCTTTTATAGTGATGCCTCCAAGGAAAGAAATAAATGAGGTAAAGCCAATCCTTGCCCCAGCTAACTGCATAAGAGACCAGGCCACAGCATAAGAATTGTAACTTATTAGACCTAGCAGTCTGTTTGA